GATGAGATCGGGAAGAGGGACAACAGGGGCCCATGTAGGAGAAGGAGGAGAGAGAGGGAAGAGGAGGAGGAAGAGAGGGGGAAGGAGCAGGGAGGTAGGAGCGGGAGGAAGAGCAGGAGAAGGAGGAGCCGGAGGAGAGCTGGGTATATCTAGTTTTCGCGCTCCTGGGTCTAGCTGCCACCCACCCCCTCTGGGCCCGCTGGTGACCCCCTAATCTGTCAAAGCTGGCGAGCGCCCCCCAGAGAGCTCTCGAAAGGCAGGCAGCCGGCGATCGACCAACAGCGGGGTCCTCTCTGGCCTCGTCAAACTCGTCGTCGATTCTGCACTCGCTCAGAACTGGTGCCCAGAACCTTCCTGGGGTCCGATTGGTCCGCTTCCGGAGCCGCGTCCAGCCGCGGCGACGAGAGCCTCCAGACACACAAAAGCAATGCAACAAAAAATCTAAACAGTGAACGAAACATCGACAAGAAACCAAAGATGCCGTCGACGAAGGGGACAAGGTCGAGGACGAGAACGAGGACGAGGAGGAGGGCAAGGACGAGGACGAGGACAAGGACGACGAGAACGACGACGACGACGACGAGAACGACGACGACGACGACGACGACGACGACGACGACGACGACGACGACGGCGACGGCGACGGCGACGGCGACGGCGACGGCGACGGCGACGACTGGACATCAGGTAAACAGGTCTGGGTGGGGTCGGCTCTAGACCGCAGGGCTTTGCCCAGGAGCAGCCTGTCATGCCGAGCCCTTCCCGTGGCGTCCCCTGGGGCCTGGGAATCAGGCCCCGGGAGCCCAGAAACTTTCTTTTTTTTATCAGCGCAATGTCTGGGGAGGAGAAGGAGGAAAGCTGAGGGGACGATGAGCGGACATGAACTGCCAACTCGCGTGCACTCCAAGCGGGTTCCGGGGCAAACCACGGGAGCACCGACAGCAAAACTGGCGGGAGCCCAGAAACGGCAACAAGCCTCGGGGACTCCTTGTCCCAAGGGCCCCCTGCCCTTCATGCGGAAGCTGCCACCGTTCGGACGTCCCTCCCCCGTGCATTCCGCAGCTTGGGTTGAGTTGGGCGTCCCCATAGAGGCGGATTTTGGGCGAAAAATCAACAATAGTCAAGGAATACTCGAAGGTAGTCAAAAATCGTCGAAAAATCCTCCCCACCTTATTTTGGGACTATGTCTGAATACTTCCCCTGTAGAGGGACAGGCCCGCCCTAAGGCTTCGTGCGTGTTCTCTTCTCGAGGTGGACCGAGATGCTCCAAGATGCTCCCGCCTGTCTGGCGCTGGCCCCGCCGAGAAGAGCGCAGACGCCCGAGCGATGCCAGCTGAGCAGCCGTCGTCGCCGCCGTCGAGCACTCCAGGTTTTTAAGTCGGGCACTCCCCTCTGCAGGGGGGATATCCAAAAACAGTCGAAAAACGAGGGTTTGAGTCGAAACGAAAACAGTCCAAAAACGAAGGGAATATCCTGCAGAGGGACTATCTGCAGGTTTGAGTCGGGCACTTCCCTCTGCAGGTCGAAAAAACAGTCTAGGGACGATTTCGTATCTTTCATTTGTCGTCCAGACTCCGCCTGTGGGAGGACATGCCCGACCCAAACTCTGGGCCCGCTGACACCCGCCCTGAGCTCCTCCCTTGCAGCCCTGGGGGCCCCCGGAGCCCCCGGGGGCCCTCCAGGAGGAGGGCAGGAGGGGGGGGGGTCGCAAACCATGGCCCGAGGCACGTGCGCGGCCTGGGGGGGGGCCAAGGGACGCACTGAAATCCGCCGACCCATCGGCGTGTAAGGCGCTTTTCGTTTGAGTCGTCGTCGTCCTCCTCCTCCTCCTCCTCGTCGTCGTCGTCCTGGTCTCTCCCTTTCCCTGGGCCTTCCTCCCAAACGGAAATCAAGCCACATCGAAATTTGATTCGGAAGGAAGCCCTGACTTTGACCCCTTCCCTGCGGGGAAGGGGGGGGTCCCTGGGAGGGGGTCCAGGGGGCGGTCTTGGGAAGGGGTCCTGGGAGGGGTCCTGGGTGGATTCCGGGAGTGGGTCCCACGGAAGGTAAGCCCAGGCTGACCTTGGGCTCCAGAAAAGGAAGGGAGGGGGGAGGTAGCTTTGAACCCCCACCCCCTTGGCAAACCAATCCCAGCTGCGAAGAAGGCGGGGAGGGTAGCTTCCCAAGTCCCCCCCCCTTCGAAAGGGAAGCCCGGGCTAACCTCTGGTCCCGACCCCCCCCCCGGGCGAAGGAAAGGGAGTGGTCCCCCTGTCAGCAGGGGAACTCGTGATCTCTCCCCCCCCCTTGGCCGCAGCTCCAACCCCTGGCCACGGCCACGGCCACGGCCACGGCCCCCGCCCCGGCCTCGGCCCCAGCCCCAGCCTCGGCCCCGGCCACAACCCCAGCCCCGGCCCTGGCCCAGGCCCCGGCCCAAGAGCCGGCCCCATCAGAGCCAAAGAGGCTCCCAAGAGAGCCCCAAGAAGGGCTCCAGAGCGTCAGAGTCGTCATCGTCGTCGTCGCCGCCGCCGCCGCCGTCGTCGTCCCCCTTCAGGGTCGGCGGCACTGGCCGTAAGGCCGTCCCAATAAGAAGAGGCACCAGAAATCTGGCGAAATGTCATGGCCACAGTCGTGATACCCACCTCCTCTTACTCATCGCCCCCGTGTTGGCCGCTCCCGAAGCCTGGAGAAAGGCGCAAAGCCTTCGGGACGTCTTCTCTCAAGGGCCACTCTCCTTCGCTTGGTGGCGCGAGCAAAAGGGTAAGGGGAGGGGGGGCGGTTTCTTGAAGGAGGCTGCTTCTTAGAAAGCGCCGGCCGTACATCTACAGAGAAGGCCCGCGCCATGTAAGAAGCAGCCTCCTTCCAAAAAGCCTTCCTAAAACCCCTTCCACCGCTGCGCGTGGCCGAATCATGCTGAATAACCTTCGTCGCCATCGTCGTGGTCGCCGTCGGGCACCCCAGCAAGGCCAGCCCACAGCTCAGGCCACGGCCGTCCTCGGTCTTCCCGCGGAGCGCGGCCGCTCGGTCCTGCCGGGCCAGGCTGGGTTTCACGCCGGGGGCCCGCCCCGCGGCGGCGGGGTGGGGCACACAGCAACTCCTGCGCACTGCGACGAGGACGCCGACTCCACACACACACACACACACACACACACACACACACACACACCTTATTTCTCTTTCTCTTTCCTGCTCTCTCCCTCTCTCTCTCTTTCTCTCTCTCTTTCTCTCTCAAACACACACACACACACACATTTCTTAAGTCAGCGGCGCAAAGGGTCCTCAACCGCGAGCAAAGTACGGAAGTGCGAATTGTGATGGCACGTTGTCCAAAGCGCAGCGTACGAAGCGTCGCACACTGCAACATGCAAGCGATGGGTGCGTTAGATTAACAGTAAGACACACACACACATACACACGCACACAGGCATGTATATAATGCCAGGCGTCGCGACCGCGCGCGCAGCGACACGGAGTACAAATCTCAATCAAGCGGCCGCGCACGCGCGTCTAGAGGCCGAGCCCTCAAGCCGTTCGGAGCCAACCAGCGACGGCAGCCAGCCATAAGTCATCCGGGCCTGAATGACGGGGGGGTCAGACGAGAGGGGGCGGACGAACGGAACCGACCAAGCAAGATAACGAAGCGACCGGACGGCGAGGAAAAGACGCAAGGCGGAGACCAAATCTACAGGGATGCCCTGGCCAGACGAGTGGCAGAAGGGCACGACAATGACCAAAGGGCCGAATTCCAGCAGGCGGCGGCAACGACACCGAAAGAAAACGCGATACGACGAGGCTGCAGCGCCGGCGCGGGGAACCCGCAAAAGGTGAACGTATGAAAACCCACCCCCGCCCCCCACATGAGGAACCGTAGACCAGCTAGACCCCGCGCGCGCGGGCCCTCCCCCCTGCGGCAGGTGGCAACGGCCACTCGTACAGGGCGCCTCACACACGCACATTCGCCAGGATGTCAGAACGCTGACAAGCAAAATCCACTGTTCCGGCGGTGCCTGGCCGGGGCAAGCGCCAGGCGTGGCTGCCTCAAGCTTACGGTCGTCGCAGGCGGGCGCAGCGCCACGCAGTCCAGCCCGCGCGCTCAGAACCGCGTTTGCGCGCGCCCGGTCGTCAGAGGGAGGAGGAAAAAGGAAGAGGCGGCTGGCCCCTTACGGGCAGTGGCCAGGCAGGGGTGGCCAGGCAGGGCAGGGGCGCTGGAGCAGCGAGCACACACACACACACGGTTAAACGCGGTGGCGAAAAGGAACCTCAGGCGCGGCGGTAGATGGAAGTGCAAATTGCGAACGAACATAGTCGAACGCGCCGTGATGAAGGAATCCAGCCACGGCCATGCAGATTGGTAGGAGTGGTGAAAAGATGAGGCACTGCAAAGCCAATGTGCAGCGGCCAAGCATCCCGCAGAGCGTGCTCGACGCAAAAAGTTGAAACGCGACAGCAGTCTGGTCCAGACCCACCCCGTCATGCCCCCCTCCAGCCGCGCGAAGTTTGCGCCGAAGGCGGCTGCGTCGACAATGCAATCGCTTCAGCGGGGGCGACGCCAACGGCCAAGCACAACGGCCAATCCACGGCTCGCTTTCGCGCTACACGCTGCGTGTCCTGCCACGCTCCCAGACACTCCCAGACGCTCCCAGACGCCCACCCGCGCTCCCAGGCGCTGGAGCGCGCTCCCCCGGCGCCCCAGAGCGCCCCCGACGCGTTCCTCCGGCGCTCCCAGAGGGCTCCCCCAAGGCACTCCCAGGGGCTCTGCCATGCAGGTGCTGACGCAGCCATGCCCGCGCATCGTGGCGAGGGGGTGCCAGGCCCACCCCTCGCGCTCTCCCCCCAGCCGCCCGAACCTCGCGCCGAAGGCGGCTGCGTCGATGATTGCAATCGCTTCGGCGGGGGCGACCCCAAAGGCGAAACCCAAAGCCGAAGGCGGATGCAACTGCCGTGCGCGTCGCCGTCAGCGAGGAGCCCTACGGCGCAGCCACTCGCTCGAGGCCCAGGGGAACCCATGGAGAGATGCCGCACCAGCGGCAGCGCAAATCTGCGCACTGCCACGGCCGCGTCGGCGACCGCCCGCGCGCGCCACTTCGAAAGCCCCCCGTGATAAAAGGGGGGTTTGGGGGAGAAACCCTAAATCCTAAAAGGCTCCACTCTGGGCGGTCCAGGGCGGGAGCGCGACTAACCGCGGCGCGCGCGGCTTGGGCAGCGACCCCCCCCCCCGCAACCTCGACGCGGGGGGGGTCGCAGCCTGCGCGCTCGTGCCAATGCAGGCCGTAAGAACTAAGAGCCCATAAAGATTTAAATCCTGAAATGCCTTAGCCCGCCCTTATGGGCCCCCTTCTGCGCCCCCCATTTTGGCACACCCTCCACGCAGATCCTTGCCCTCGGAGTGCCAGGAATTGTGTTCCGAAAGCTTCTGCAAAACGCAGGGCGCACTTCACGCAGATCCTTGCCCTCGGAGTGCCAGGAACGGCGTTCTGGGAGCATTAGGCAAATCGCAGGGAGCAACCCTCACGCAGATCCTGGTCCTCGGAGCTCCAGGAATTTCGTTCCGGGTGGATCTGCAAAACCCAGGGCGCACCCCTCACGCAGATTCGTGGCATCCCAGAAGCAGCGGCTTCCCAGAAGACTTTGCGCGACTGTCGTCGTTTTGAAATCAATACCGTCGTCTTCGTCATCGGTATCGTCGTCGTCGTTTTGAGATGAATGTCTTGGGTCATGGGTTGGTGGGACACGTCCAACAGGCTTCAAGCTTGGGCTAGTAGACCCTAAACCCTAAGCCCTAAGCCCTAAACCCTAGTGCGACGAGGCTTTCAGGAAGCACCTCGGCCGCGGCGCGATCGCCCTGACCGACCGCGCCGACTGCTACGAGGTTTTCGCCGCCGGCGACTTTATATGTTCGCCCTCCTGCGACCGCAAGGATTGCCTCGGGCGCGCGAAAGCAGCGGGGCCCGCCAAGCAATGCACTGCGTCGCGGCCGAGGCGCGGGCGGGACCGCTTTTGCGCCCACAGGCGCAGGCTGGCCCTGTCGCGCGGCGTGGTGAGCCACAAGAAGGCGGAGTGGGCGGTCGCAGAGGCCGTGCGCGTGCAAGACAAAGACGCAAGCTTGCGCACGATTAAGATCAAACACGGCACGGAGGCGGCGGACGGCAGTTGGGGCAAAGTCATGTCGGCGATCCCGACTTCGATCAAGAGCGCCGACCACGACCGCGTCGCCGAGTACGTCCACGCACGGGCGTGGCGCGCCAGGCGCCATGGGGCCGACCTCCTCGCTGCTTTGTGCTCGAAGTGGGTCAGGGCTCGCGAGGGGCCCGACGTCGGGGGCCGCGGGGCGCGCGGGGTTCGGGGGGCACGCGGGGCGCGAGACCATGCTCAGTCAGTATGCAGAGAACCCGTGCGATGCCGCCGTGCTGAATACTTCCCACCGCATGTTCACGTTGCCGCGGGGGGGCCCCTTCGCGAGAACAACTAACGTTGGTCTCCAGAGAGGGCCAGGAGAGGGGCGAGGATGACAAGGAGGAGCATGAATCTGGCAAATAAAAAAGGAAGAGGGATGGACGGGAGGAGGAGACGGAAAAAGAATTGAGGGCCAGCGGTCACGGCAAAGGGCCGAAAAGCGCCCCGCCCCGTCCAGTCTGGCGGCGGTCGGACCCCCCCTGCGCCGGACAGGGGAGCGGGGGTAGTGCCTCCCGCTTCCCTGTGCCGCGCCGGAAATAGCGGGGGTGAGGGTTAGGCTGTTTGGGTTAGGGTGAGACTGTCAGGGTTAGGATGTTAGGTTTGGGGTATTCTGGTCAGGGTGTTAGGATTGGGGTTAGGGTTCGGGGTTCAGGGTTGCAGTTGGGGTGGGGGGTAGGATCAGGGTGAGGGTGGGGTGGCTCGGATTTGGGTGTTCGGAATAGGGTTCGGGTTAAGGGGGTTGCGGTTTGGGTGGTCGGGTTCAGGCTAGAGTGATAGGGATCGTGTCAGGGGGTCACGGTTAGGGTGTAGGGTTCGGGTTAGGATGTTAGGGTTCGGGTTAAGGGGCGATGGGGATTAGGATTAGGGCGGTAGATTGGGGGGGGGCGGGTTACGCTTCGGGTTGGGGTGTTAGTGATAGGGTTAGAGAGTTAAGGTTAGGGTGAAGAGTTCAGGATTAGGGTGATAGGGTTCGGGTTCGGGTTTTGGCTCTGGGGATTAAAATGAAGGGTGTTATGGTTAGGGGTAAGGGGGCCGGGTTAGGGTTAGGGTTAGGGTTAGGCGGTTAGGGTTCGGGTTATAGGGCTACAGGGCTACATGGTGTTAGGCTTAGGATGGTAGGATTTGGGACTGGGTTGTGTCTACGGTTCGGTTTAGGGGGTTAGGGTTTGTGAGTTAGGGGGTTCGGGTTAGGGTAGCGGGGTTCGGTTTAGGATTAGGGTGAGGCTTCTAGGGAGTTCGGGGTGAGGGTTAGGGGTTCGAGGTTAGGGGTTAGAGCTTAGGGTTAGGGTTAGGGTTAGGGTTAAGGATTAGGTTTAGGGTTAAGGATTAGGTTTAGGGCTACGGTGAGGGTCTGGCTGAGGGTTAGGAACTGGGATCAAGGTTAGGTATTGGGGTTCGAGAATAATAAGGTTAGGATTAGCGGCTGAGGGTCAGGGTTCGAGTGGCTGGTTGTTGTGCAAGTGTTTGAGTTAGTGAATTAGGGTTAGGGCGTTACGGTTTGGATACTAGGGTTAGGATTCGGGGGCTAGGGTTCGGGTGGTAGGGTTAGGGGGTAGGGCGTTCAGGCCACGAGCCTCTATTCGAAGCCCACTGGACGTATCCCACCCGCTCATGACCCATCACATACAGAGCTCAACGCGTCGAGGACGGCAGTGCAATGCGTCATGCGCAGCACTTACGCAGCGCCTCGACCCGATGCATCGGCGATGCGGCATGGGATCGAAGCGACCAGCGGGTAGCTCCCCACAGCAGGTTGCCGATGCTCCCTGGTTCACGCCGCCGTGACTCGCAAGCGCCCGACGGCTTTCGGGGCGGCCGACTCTGCTGCTGGCGCGGCGGAAGCGCGGCCGAGCGAGGGCGGGCCCCGCGTCGGGTGCAAGGGATTTCTGGTCGCATGCATGGGAAACCGTATGTTTTGTAAGGGAGTCCAGCCGCATGGGCACAAAACCGTAACTTGTACAAGGGAAGGTGGGGGGCGCCGAAGGGGCGGCAGAAGGGGCGTCCGTAAGGGATCTCAGGGCTTAAATCTTTATGGGCTCTAAGTTCTTAAGGTCAGGGCTAGGGGTCTCAGGCTAGGCTGGTGGGGTTCGGATTAGAGCTTCGGGTAAGGTGTTAGGGTAGGGTTAGTGAGGGGTTTAGTGTTAGGGTGGTAGGGGTTAGAGCTTAGGTTTATGGTTAGAGTTAGGGTCAGGGGGTTATGGTTAGTGCATTAGGGTTGGAATTCGGGGGTTAGGGTGAGACTTGGGCGACGCCCACGCCCACGCCCACGGCGCCATGACGACGCCGACGCCCATGACGACGCCGCCCACTCCGACGACGCCGACGAAGCCGACGACGCCGGCCGACGGCAGCCCCCCGGAACCCGGCGCTCCTGCTCGGCCGTCGCCGCGCCGAAGACGAGCGCCGCGACGAGGGCGGCGGGCGAGAAGGTCCGCATGGCTACGTTCTGGTGCTGGCGGGAGCCGCCGCTCCAGGGAACTTCGGGCGCCCTTCAGGGCGACGGGGGCGAGGGCGAGGGCGAAGGCGAGGAGGAGGGCAAGACGGAGGAAAAGGAGGAGGAGAAGAAGAAGAGGGCGAGGGGGCGAGAGGAAAGAGAGGACAAAGGGAAGGACGAGAACGAGGGACTTCGGGCGCTCTCGGGGTCGTCGTCGGCGACACGTTCCCCGTGATTACCCTATTCCTCCTCCTCCTCCTCCTCCTCCTCCTCCTCCTCCTCCTCCTCTTCCTCCTCATCATCATCATCATCATCATCATCCTCATCCTCATCCTTCTTCTCTTCCTCGTCCTCCTCCTTTTCCTCCTGCTCCTTTCCTTCTCCACCACCACCACAACCATCGTGATAATAGCGTTACTCTTCATCAGCATAATCAGCATCATCATCATGATCATCATGAGCATCATCATCATCATCATCATCATCATCATCATCATCATCATCATCATCATCATCATCATCATCATCATCATCATCATCATCAATCATCAATCATCATCATCATCATCATCATCATCAGCATCATCATCATCATCATCATCAGCATCATCATCCATCAAATCATCATCATCACCATCAGCAGAAGCAGCATCCTCATCCTCCTCCTCCTCCTCCTCCCCTCCTCCTGCCTCCTCCTCCCTCCTATCATTCTCATCATCATCATCATCATCATCTCATCATCATCATCACCATCACCATCACCATCACCATCACATCACACATCATCATCATCATCATCATCATCATCATCATCATCATCACCATCACCATCACCATCAATCATCATCCATCATCATCCTCATCATCCTCATCATCCACATCATCCTCATCATCCTCATCATCAGCAGCATCATCAGCATCATCAGTATCATCATCATCATCATCATCATCATCAGCAGCAGCATCATCAGCATCATCATCATCATTATCAGCATCAGCATCATCAGCATCATCATCATCATCATCATCATCATCATCATCATCATCATCATCATCATCATCATCATCATCATCCGCATCATCCTCATCATCCTCATCATCATCATCATGATCATCAGCATCATCATCATCATCATCAGTATCGTCATCAGCATCATCCTCATCATCATAATCACCACCACCACCAGCATCATCATCAGCATCACCATCATCATCATCATCATCATCATCAGCATCATCATCCCCAGTATCATCATCAGCAGCAGCATCATCATCAGCATCATCATCACCATTAGCATCATCAGCAGCAGCATCATCAGCATCATCATCATCAGAATCAGCATCAGCATCAGCATCATACTCATAATCATCAGCAGCAGCATCATCATCGTCATCCTCATCAGCATCACCGTGATCCGAATCATCATAATCACCATCATCATCAGCATCAGCGTCAGCATCATCATCGTCGTCATCATCAGCAGCAACAGCATCATCATCATCAGCAGCATCATCATCAGCATCATGATATCGTCATCATCATCGTCGTCATCATCATCATCCCCCTCCTCCGCATCATCCTCCTCCGTCTCCTCCTCCTCCTCCTCCTCCTCCTCTTCCTCCTCCTCCTCCTCCTCTTCCTCCTCCCCCCCCTCCTCCTCCTCCTCCTCCTCCTCCTCCTCCTCCCCCCCTCCTCCTCCGCCTCCTCCTCCTCCTCCTCCTCCTCCTCCTTCTCTTCCTCCTCCCGCATCCCGCCTCCCGCCTCCCCCCTCCCGCCTCCCGCCTCTCGCATCCTAACTCCCGCCTCCCGCCTCCCGCCTCCCGCCTCCGGCCTCGGGCCTCCCGCCTTCCGCCTCACGCCTCACGCCTCTGACATCCCTCCC